GATAGGATGAATGTAAAACTAATGTTCTCCCATGTAAACTATCACATAATTCACAATAAAACATTAAAAAAAAAAAAGATTTACAGCCTCGGAAATCCTGTACAGGGTCGCTATGAGTTGGAACCAACTCCAAGGCACATAGTCACCACCACCATTGGTGATTAAAATCTTTTCCCTGGATTATTACATCCTTGGCTCCAAAATGTTTCTTTCATCCCTTTGTTAAATAATTTGACATTTTAAGAGTATAATAGAATATTTCTCTAACTCTAGAAAAATTATTTTTGTTTTTATTTTACATTGAATAGTGATATGTTTTCACATGTCTTTTTTCAGTTTGCTTCTTAAAGCAACTCTGAGTTTGGAAGGTAGTTTATCTCTACTTTACCTGTGAAAAAATTTTAGTTGTCTGGTGCTGCTATACACACCATAAATGGGTGGCTTTAAAAACAAAAAATTATTTTCACAAGGTTTAGGAGGCTGGAAGTCCACATTCAGGGCACCAGCTCTAGGGGAAGGCTTTCTCTCTCTGTGGGCTCTGGAGGAAAGTCCTTGTCTCTTTTGGGTGATTTTCATGTGGCTTGGCATCTCTGTTCCTGCATATCTGCTTCTTTTCCTTGCTTATTTAATCTCTTTCATATCTCAAAAGAAATGGACTTAAAATTATGGTGTGTTCTGATGGGTTGTTGCCAATCAAGAGTAACACTAAGTTTGAGTGCCTACAAAAATGTTGATATTATTCTCTGGGCCTTGCTTTTCTCATCTGAATAATGGGAGTGATGATAACCACCTTTCTTACCACACACAGATGTCAAGGAGATGAAAGTAGCTATGAGTCAGAACTGACTGGATGGCACTTAACAGCAACAACAACCCACATCAGTACTTACTGATGAAGATAAAACACAACAGTCTTCAGTATGGATAATGAAAATCCTCAAAACTAGACCAATAAATAACAACATGATAAACTGAGAAAAGATTGAAGTTGTCAAAGACTTCATTTTGCTTGGATCCACAATTAATGTTCATGTAAGCAGCAGTCAAGAAATCAACCACATTGTATTAGGCAAATCTGTTGCAAAAGACCTCTTTCAAGTGTTAAAGAGCAAAGATATCACTTTGAAGACTAAGGTGTGGCTCTACCTAAGCTAAGGTATTTTCAATGGCCTCATGTGCATGTGAATGTTGGACAATGAATAATGATGACTGTAGTAGAATTGATGCATTTGAATGATAGTGTTGGAGGAGAATATTGAAAATACCAAGGATTGACGGAAGAACAGGAAAATCTTTCTTGCAAGAAATACAGTCAGAGTGCTCTGGTGAAGCCTGGTTGAGATTTCATGTCTCATATTTCCAACATATTATCAGGAGGGACAAGTCCCTAGAGAAAGAACATCATGCTGGGAAGAGTGAAGGGTCAGCAAAAAAGAAAACGACCCCCCAATGAGATGGATTGACACCAAGACAGCAATGTGAGCACAAACAATTGTGAGGATGTTGCAGGACCAGGGAATGTTTTGTTCTGTTGTGCACTGGTTGCCCACTTGACGGCACCCACCTAACAACAACAGCCACATATGTCTGTTGAGAACCTGAACTGAAATACACTGAGAGTTTAAAATGATATTGAAGACTCTGTGTGAAAAGATAATGCAAAGTAATTTTTGTATTTGTTACATGTTGAAGTGATGATTCTTTGATATATGGGATTAAATAGATTATTATATTAAAACAAAAAAGAGGTGGACTTAAAACATACTCTATACTAATCAGGTCTCCTTAACATAACAAAGACCTCTACCCCAAGGGGTTTTATAATCACAGATATTAAAAAACAAAACCAAATCCACTTCTGGCTCAAAGTGACCCTGAATAGAGTTTCTGAAACTGCAACTTTTTGTAGGAGCAGAAAGCCTTAGCTTTCTCCTGAAGAGTGTCTAGTAGGTTTGAACTGCTGACCTTTTGGTTGGCAGTCTAGTGCTTATCATACAGCCATACTAGAGTTCCTAACCACAGACAAAGTGGTTAGAGTTTGCAGCACCTATTTTGGGGGTGGGTACACACAATTCAATTCATAACAGAAGTTAAGCAGTTTGTTCATAATTTCTCAGAAAGTGGTAATAAGTAAGCCAGACTCTCTGCCTTCTAGTGCTATAGTGTTCCTTCCACTAGGCATATTACTTTGGAGGAAATGTAGTAGAGTAGAAAGAGTATGGGCTCTGTATACAGGCTTCCTTGACTGTTTAAAAAGGGATAATACCTTCCTTATTATGTACTATAATGATTGAATGAGTGAACAATATGTAAAATTCTTTTTTTTTCCTTAGTTGTGGAATATTCTTTTTTTATTATTATTTTTATTATTATTGTGAATTGAATGAAGGTTTATATACAAGATCATCAGATTTACATTCAACAAATCATATACATTTTGTTTCATCTCAATGAATGCAGTCCTCCTCCATGAAACAACAGTAGTCCCTCTTCCTCCCGGTAGTTACCCATGTAACCACAAACTTTAAAACCATGTAACATTCAAACTCATATATTTGTGGAATATGTACATATGTATGTATCCTACTCTTCCTTCCATATCCATTCAGCTAATGCCTCTGTCCATGTAGCTACACATAGAACATTGTTTTTCCAAGGTTGTGAATATATCACTTTACCTCTGTCCCCTTTAGTTCTTGGATGCCTCTTGGAGTCTTCACCTGTCTTCATCATTCTTCTGTTAACCTCCCTCTTCTTGTATATTGCTTTTCCCTTCTTGTATATTGTCCTCCCCATCACCCAAGTTTACGTGTCTACCCTTTAGCCAGTGAATTACTCTCCCTTCCCTCCCACCCTTGTTGTTGTTATGTGCCATCGAGTCGGTTCCGACCCATAGCAACCCTCCCACCCTTGGTAACCATCAAATAATGTTTTTTTCTGTATGAAAACTTTTTCTTGAGTTTTTACAATAGTGGTTGCACACAATGTTTGTCCTTTTATGATTGATTTATTTCACTCAACATAATGTTCTCCAGGTTCATCCGTATTGTGATTAGGTGTTTTACAGATTCATCATTATTCTTCAACATTACCTAATATTCCATTGTGTGTATGTACCAAAGTTTGTTTATCCACTCTTCCATGGATGGGCATTTAAGCTGTCTACATGTTTTTGTTATTGTGAATAGTGCTGTGATGAAAATTGGTGTGCATAGAGCTACTTGTG